TCTTCAAGAAACCAGGAGGATCTCCATGCCAAGATGAGGTTTCTGAGTTGAACTCTGGTGGTAGATAGTTTAAATATATGTTCTGTATGTACAAAACTGAAAGACTCATGTGAGCTGCCCCAATCATATTTATAAAATGTATAGTGGCTGGCATTCTGACAGAGAACATCAAAGAATCTTGGGTTGCACTCTTGGAAAACTTTTCTTTCCCCCTTGCAAACACAATAATGGGAGGGGCCCCGATTGAACAGACAATGATTAAATCAATTGTCAATTACCGATTTTCCACAATAGTTTATGTACAACCCAACTGCACCACAGCAAAAATATTTTAAGCAAACAACCAGCCAACGATTTCCACCCATAAACTGAGGAGGGCGATAGTGCGGTAGAGCACATTATAACACTAAGAACACGGATGGAAGTAGGAAGTCAGAAGACATGGGCTCCAGCCTGGATTATGCCGCTGCCAGCTTTAGGGCCCTGGACCACTCTCCTTATCTCAGTTATGAGCTTCAAGCTCCCCAACATGAAAATGGGCATAACAGGGGCAGCCAAGTGGTGCAGTGGATACCGGCCCTGGAGTCAGGAGGATGTGAGTTCAAATCTGGCCTCAGATGCATAACATTCACTAGCTGTGTAACTCTGGGCAACTCACTTAACTCCAACTGCCTCTCCAAAAAAAAAAAGGGGGGGGAACATAACAAATATTCCCACTACTCTCCTCAGCCCCCAGGTGTGAAGCTCAAATGAGCTAGCTAACTCTGACATCTCTATCTTCGAAGTGTTTGAAATACACTCCCCATTATTATCAATCAAAACAAACTAAACACTTCTCTCTGCATATACAATGAAACTATGGACCACACAATTTGCACTAATTCAGAATCTTGAAAATTTGAGAGGACCATTAGAAAGCAAACGCATGCATCGCTGACACTTAGAAGAAACACAGCTAACTTCTTAGTGGCATAACAGCAAAAAAATGTCCTAGAGCCAGGGGCCTTAATTTCTTTTGTGTCCTGGACTCTTTGGCAGTCTGGTAAAGCCTACAGATACCTTCTCAGTATGTTTTTAAATGTATAAAATAAAATACATAGAATTAGAAAGGAAACCAATTATATAGAAATAGTTATTAAAATGTATGTGTGTGTGTGTGTGTGTGTGTGTGTGTGTGTGTGTGTGTGTGTTGTGTGTGTGTGTTCAGAGACTCTAAACTCCAGAGCCTGGCCTGCCTGAAATCTTACCTAGGTAAACTAATGACTTTTCAAAAAGATATTAAATGTATTATAAAAATAACATAAAAATATTGTCAATAAGTCAAAATATACAATTAACCATAAAAATTAATAATCCAATCACACTGTCAATACCCTATCGATAAGATTCTAATATACGTTAGGTAATAAGGGTGGACTAAATTGAGCTCACTTTGGTTATTGTAGCAATTCTTAGCTTGATACCATAGTTCCAAAAATTCAACATTGTCATTGTTTTCATGATGGTGGAGTTGCAAATGTGGAAATTAAGTCACAAAATAAAGTTCAACAAGGGCTAGGGACTCTATTTCTTATGTAAGGTTCAGCACCTATCCTAATCTGGGTGCCCAATAATTGCTAAAAAGTAATAAATCAACTGTCTGTAATAACTAACCTGACAAGAGGCTACTCCAATTTCGAAGCCAAAGACCTCTTACCCTAATGGCTGCAAATTCCATTTCCCTTCTCTTCAGATGGCACTAACCCTAAGATTACAACATTTCAAAATTGCCTTACAAGATGCAAATTGGGAAAAACTCAGCGCCACAACAGAAACAAGCTAACTTCTCACTTGAAAAGCAAATTCAGAAGACAGCTTTAGATAAGATGGAGTATATAACCTATTCAAAATCCACACCACATGGAGAAAGGGCTTCTCGCCCCCACGACTGCGTGGTCTAACTAGCCACACTCCCAAAAACTCTGCTAGGGGGTAGTCTTGAGTGTAAGTTCTGGGAGAAGATCTTGCCTTTGCTCAAACCTACCAGTAGAGTCAAATTTCAACAGTTTATTCAATTCAATGCAACTTTCCTTCCCAGGAACAAACCAAATCATACACGATTTTCTCAGAAATTCGTTATCATTTTGGAAGAAATGCATTTTCTATTTTTTCTACACTGGAAGACTATTCACTGTCTAGCAGAATCTGGGGTAACTGCAGTCCATATCACATACTTAACTCATCAATTTGCCCCCATGCTGTCCTTAAAAGAAGGCTACAGTGTACAATGATAATACCTAAAACAGAAACTGAACATTTCATAGAGTACAAGCAAATAAAAAACTTAGCTCACATTTAAACTTCCCCCAATAGAAATTAGCTTCTCAAATTTAAACCCCAATTCCATTCCCACATGGATAACAAAGTGTTTACCTCAAAACAATCCTCTGAGATAAGTCATTTCAAGTCTTATTATCTTCACTTCACAGATGGGGAAGTTGAGGCAGAGAGGGGTTAAGCAACCAGTGCAGGACCACATAATAAGTGAGGAAATGCCTCAGGTGGTCTGAACTCCAAGATTAGTAGCGGTGCTCCTCCAACTACAATCCCCCTCCCCATGCCTTGCCATAAAGAACACCACAAGCTTGTTCTCACAAGAGACTTGGGGAAGGGAAGGGGAGGGGGGAGAAAAGAGTCCTAATCAAAATGTCTAAAAATACAATCAGCTTTTGTAAAGCCATCTGCACACCCTGGAACTTCCTGCTTCACCTAATGTGGGCAAGACAATCACAAATAAGATCAAAAAACTTGGCAGAGTGCAGAGTTTGTTTTGGGTTTGTTTTTTTTTTCCCTTGGGGAGGGGCAAATAACTAGATGACATTCAACTTTAGTGCTAACATACAATATTTGGAAACACCGACAGAGTGCACAGTGCACAGATTAATACTATCACCTAAATGGAAAATATTAACCTATATGCTTTAAAGACTCCACCTACAGATCTGAGCCATGCTGAAAAGTCACCATTTGTAACAGGTTTTTAAAGATACAATTGTAGACATAAGAATAAGTAACTTAAAACTACTGGATCTCTAATGAAGACAGTTGTTCTCTTTCCCAAACCTTTCAAACTGTTTATAACATCATCATTTTCCTGACTAGCACACTTTCAAACAAAGAAAACTTTTTTCCCATAAACACCTTTTAAATGCTTTACTAAAAACATGTTTCTTAACACATGCTTTTAATTAAAAAACAAACACTCTGGGGTCAGAAATGTATTTTTAGGCAACAAAACTGAGACTCAAACTAAACAAAAGCTAACTTCAAAAAAGCCAAGAGTGGCCTTGGCCAAAATGAATACAACGTGTATACTACAAAGTACCAATCAAAGTTCAGAATCCAATGAGTATTTTCCAAAGACTAGATAAAGAATCAGCAGCTCTTAGACGTGTTTTAGAAGTTAAAATTAGCACAAGAAGAAAAAAAAACTGCTCACTTCACTTATATAAAACTACATCATCGAAAGCTACAAACCTATTGTTTAAGAAAAGGCCTAAAAAAAACCACCCCTCCAATACAAACTCGGTATACTCCGAAAAGAACAGGAAATGAGCAAAAACCGAGGGCATGAAATGAGAAGCAACCAACCTTCTTTTGATTATACGAAGGATACCAAAAAAAAATACATTAAAAAAAATCTTCACTCAAAGAAAGAAGCTGTTTAAATAAAATTTCTTCTCGGAAGAAAGTTAACAAAGTGTATTTCTTTCTCCCAGGAGAACAGAAGGGTTAACTCAGAAATATAAAAAATTACCTGTTTACCAGGCACATTGACCAGACTGAAATTGTCGAGCATTGTAATACACAGAGGATAAGAGGATATTATGTTTGTTTGTGTGTGTGCGTGAGTGCGCGTTTGTTTTCCTTGCAACTAACAGAGTAGAGCCCCTTTTCAATTAAGGAAAGCTCGGTCTCTCTTTCTTTCTGTTTCCAACCAGGGCCCTTCCCCCAGCCTCCCCCCTCCCCAAGCCCCCCAACAACTCCTCCCCACGTAAACAAAAGACCAGCAGAGCCTGTAAATCCTGCCTCCAAGCCTCTGAAACTTCCTGAGGGGGACTTCCACACCTTTTTCCATTATCTATCCTCCTTCCCTCCACCAAGTTCCCCCACTCACCCGGTCTGGTCACTCCACACTAACCCGGCAAAAGCTTTCTCCTGCTCCAAGGCTGTCTGGCTGTCCCCCCCACCTGCCCCCCATCTCCGAGAGACAGATCTGGGGTGCCCCTGGCTCTACCCCCCCTTCAGCCCCTAGACGTCCACGGAGACAATCGAGCCCTCTTTCCAACCCGCATATATGATGTACAAGAGCACCCCGAGCCCTGGGCTTTGGGGGGCTGGGGTGAAGAGGGGGCGGGGTGGGGGGGACGCCCCCCATCTCCGGGCTGGGGGAGGGCGAATGCAGAAACCCCTGAATGCATCTGGCCGGGGCCTAGAGGCAGAGGATTTCCCCCGTTTGCACCTCCCTCCGCGTCCCCTCCCTCCTCCGATAACAATAGGGGCCTTGCTGCTGACTCCAAAACATGTACTAGGAGCGGAGCGAGGGAAGCGCCAGCCCCGGGAGCCAGGGCCGGGGCGGCTTTTCCAAAGCCCTTCTCCCCGCTCCCGCCGGCCCAGAACCCCAATATGACCGGACCATCGGCTCGCTGGGAGTCCCGGGTAGCTTTTGGACCCGGCAGGGCTCGGATACTCACGGGCGGAGCGGTCGGATGAAGATGGATTTCAGCCCCCCGGATCGGCTCTCGCCAGCGCTCTCGCTCCCCCTTACCTTTCACTCCGACAACATGGCGGCCCACTGGGGACTGGGCTGGCGCGGTGCATGCTGGGATCGGCTCCGGCCCTGGCTCCGGCGGCGGCGGCGGCAGCAGCATGTGCGGAGAGGAGAGGGGAGGGGGGAGAGGAGAGGAGGGAGAGGGAAGGAGGGAGGGAGAAAAAGAGAGTCCGGGAGGGAGGGAGGGGAGGGGAGGCGGGCGAGGCGAGGCAGGAGAAGCAGCCGCCGGCTCGGGAACAGGTTGCCTGGTTGCCATGCCAACCCAGGGGCCTGGGTGAACTTGGGAAACTCACTCTCATTTTACAACACCAGGGCTGCTGTGGGCTTAGGGTCGGGATGCGTACGTGCGTGTGCCTGAGATGGTACACCATCCCAGAGGTGGATGCCAGCGCACATCTGGGAGCTGGGAGGTGGGCTGGATGCCTGGAAGAGATCAAAACGTACGACACCTGGCCCACCCTCCTCAACCCGCAGCCCCCACCCCACCCCCCAACACTAGCAGCCCCCACACCCAGCTATCTTAGACCCCGCCTTCCACGCTAACACTTTGTCCTGCTTCTCAACTGGCCCCTTTGTTCGATGCAGAAAGTGCCCACGGACACGATTTCAGGGTGGGCTTGGCGCCCATCTGATGTTCACCTGAACTGGGCTGCATTTGGAAAGACCCAGATTAGAGATTAGGCTGGAAAGTCAGGAGACCTGGGTTCTAGTCGCAGATCCTTTCCAGCTTTAAAAATCCTATTGTATCCGAGCATCCTGGCTCTGCCACTACCTTGCTGGTGGTGACTTTTTAGACTGATCTCTGAACCCCGCTGGGCCTCAGTTTCCTCCTCAGAAAGTGAGGGGGTGGGGATTAGATAGTCTCTGAAGTACTTTTCAGAGCTAAAATTCGGTGATTCCATGAGTTGTGAAAGTCCACAAATTTTGTCGGTGTTTTCCCATGTGTTGGAAGGGTCCTTTTCTGTGTTTGGACAAAAAAACCAGCTGTACTACAGTGGAAAAAGCTGTAGAGTTGGGGTCAGGGGACCTGAATTTTGAATTCCGGTTCAGTTATTTACTAGCTCTGTGACCTCTGCCAAATTTCTAAAGCTCTCTGGTCCTCAATTTCCTATCTGTGAAGAGAGAAGATTGTAAGAGAATAATCTGTGACGTCCATTCTGCAGACTTCAACTCTAAATTCTATGAACAGCTTCTCTAGGCCTGTTTCCTCTTCAGTAAATGACAAAGATAGGATCTGCAAAGTTCCTTCAAGTTCTGAATTCTCGGGATCTGCAAACCGTAACACTGTTACATGTAACCTAAGGTATCAGCTGTAAACCTGGGATCCCTTTCCAAAAGAAAGAGATGTCTTTCATTTCCCCATAACTTTAAAATCCTTTATGGGGGCTGGCAGTGAAGCCCCCGAGAAGTAGAAAAGAGAGGTAAGCTTCTGGAAAGAGTAAGAAAGAGGGAGTAACCCACAGCAAACTAGAAGCGTTTCTATGGTAATTGAAAACCATCTGGAGACCTACGGAGGGAAGTGTCCAAATCATAGGCTTCTAGACATTAGACCTGAGTTTGATAACTTATTCTGATACTTACTATCGCCTATGAACTTGAGCAGCACACACTCAAGCTAGCAGCTTTGGCTCCTTCATTCTCTACTTTCTCATCTATAAAATGGAAATAAAAATACCTATAATACCAACTTCTCGGGATTGCGGAAAAGAAAGCATTTTGTGCATGTTAAATGTCAAAAGAAATAAATATGCTTATTGGAAAACCAGAATCAATGGCACTCAGGCTCCAGCCCCAAAGCCCAGGGCCCACATACTCCTCCCAGGCAAACATCGGGACAAACTACAACTAATAATAACAATAGCTAACATTTATATAAAGCTTACTATAGACCAGGCATTGTGCTAAGCACTTTGCAACCATTATCTCATTTGATACTCACAACAACCCTAGAAAGGAGGTGCTATTATTATCCTCCATTCTAAAGATGAGGAAACAGAGGCAAGCAGTTTAAGTGACTTGCCCAGGGTCACACAGCTAGTAAATGTCTGAGGTCAAATTTGAACCCAGGTCTTCCTAATTCTAAACCTAACACTCTATCCAAGAAAGCTTGGGCTCATTCTCCAAACATCTTAACTGGGAGATAAAGACAATATCAGTTGACAGAGAAAGGAAACTGAGACATCAAGTGAGGGAAGGGAATCTGTCTAAATGTACATAGTCAGCTAGCAATAAAACTGAATCACACACCCCTGACCCCTAATTCAGCATCCTTTCACATTAGTGCCCAATCAGAGATTTAGGGGTTTGAAGCCACAGACCCAAAAACTATCTCAACCTTCAATTAATACTTCAAAATACGGCTCCAGTGCGTCTTTCCAAATTGATGTCTCATCACTCCCCACTATGCCTACCACATTCCAGTCCCAGCAGCCTACTGGACAGTTCCCACATTTGGCATGCTGTCTCTCAGCTCCATAAAATCTTAAGACTACTAGGCGGCAAAGTGGATAGAGTGCTAGACCTGGAATCAAGTTCAAATGAGTTTAAATCCTGCCTTAGGGCAGGTAGGTGGTGCAGTGGGTAGAGCACCAGCCCTGGATTCAGAAGGACCTGAGTTCAAATCCAGCCTCAGACACATAACACTTACTGGCTGTGTGACCCTGGGCAAGTCACTTAACCCCATTGTCTAGCCAAAAAAAAAATTCTGCCTTAAATATTTACTAGCTCTGCAATCCTGCAAAACACACTTTACCTCTGTCTGCCTTAGTTTCCTTTTCTGTAAAATGGGAATAATAATGGTACCTACCTCCGGAGGTTGTTGTAAAGACCCAATATCTATAAAGAACTTTACAAACCTTAAAATCCCATATAAATACCAGCTATTATTATTATTAATTTATCTGTGTACATGTCATTTCCCCACCCCTAGAAAATAAGCTACTTGAGGGCAGAAACTATTTTGGCTTTTTTTCTTGTATCCCTAGTACCTGGTACATAGTAGACACTTCATAAATATTTATTGAATTGAATTGTTAAATCTTATGGAGGGAGCATGTATTCAGTCTTCCCATCAATACAGATCATGCCCCATCCATGCCCATTAATTCCATGTGATTCTTGTCTATATGTCCCCAAAGCTTCTTCATGAAGGACCTCCCTAATGTTCTATGAACTAAGATTTTAAACCTATGGTATCTTTGGTTGCCAATTTCCACCACCTAATCAGGAGGCCAGATGTTTGCAGGCTAAGGCAGCTTCTGGGCTCTTTAGCCTTCCTTATTGCAGTAACTTCTTTCTATCAGTGAAACTTGCAGGAAATTGGGGTGTTCAAGGCAGATAGCTTTACCTTTTTCCAGCTTATTTGCATGAATCCCTCTGAGGCTTTTCCATCACATTCCAAGTCTTTTCATCTTTATCCTTCCTCCTACTTTGGTTGAGTTTGACCTGCTGTCTCACTAGGCCATGTTTAATTGTGCACAGACAACTGATTCCTAAATGACCCCTACATCAGTAATAGAGCTCTAGATAGAGCTGCCATCACAGGGCCCAGAATGAGGCCAGAATGTGGTGGAGCTGTAGGTGTTTACCGGCAAGGGTGGAGGCCCCAACCCTAATACTGCTCAGAAGGCAAGTACAGAAGCTCCTCCCCCAAAGGAAATCTTGAGCCTGGCTCCAAATCTTCAACTAGTGTACTCTACTCTGAGTCACCACAGTAACCCCACAAGCCTTCCCTTCCAACCCTACTCCTAGGGACTAGATTTGGAAATCAATTGCTAAAATCCCTTGACTTTTTCTCAGTCCTCATCTTTCTTGAAGCTATAGCCTTTGGTAGTTTTGACCAGCTCCCCCTCCTAGACAACTGTTCCCCCCCCCCCCCGCCCCTTAACTTGTCATGTCTCTTGCTTTTCTAACATCTCTGACAGTTCCTTCTCAGTTTTCTTTGTTGGATTACCATCCATGGTCCATTCTCTATGTATAGTTGTCTTCCATGGCTTCATTCTGAGCCTTCTCTCTCTAAACCAGAGACTCTTAACCTGTTGTACGTGTATTAAAAAAAATTTTTGATAATTATTTCAGTATAATTAGTCTACTTCATAATTCTATGTATTTTATTTTATGCATGTATAAACATTATTCTGGGGAAGGGTCTATAGGCTTCACCACACTGCCAAAGGAGTTCAAGACACAAAAGAAAAGTTTAAAAAAAGCTCTAAACCTTTGTGTGTGTGTGTGTGTGTGTGTGTGTGTGTGATAACTCTATAGGTTCAGTTATCAGCTCTCTGCAGATGACACCCAAATTCTGGTATCTAGTCCTTATCTTTCTCTTGGGTTCTGCTGCCTCATCACCAACTCCAGCTGGTCACCCTAGTACCATCTCACATTCAACATATCCAAAACAGAACTCCTTCCCTTCCCCCACAAGACTTGCCCCTCCCCATACTTCCTTATTTCAGTGGAAGAAGCTTCTGGTCAAACAAGTACAAAACCTGCCAGCCTCCACTTATCAGTCTCCTTCCCCATCCACATCCAATCAGTTGCCAGCCCTGGTTAATTCTAACACCACAACACAGCTCACAGGCATCCCTTTCTCTCCATTCACATAGACACCACCCAGGTTAAGACTTTTGGTCACCTGTCCTGAGACTATTACAATAGCCTCCTAATTAGTATCCTGGTCTCTATCCTCACCCACCTCCCATCCATCCTCCATACAGCTGTCAAAATAATCTGCCTTTTAAAAAATACTTCTTCTTACCAGGCCACTCCCATGCTCAAGTGAAATACTCAGTGGCTCCTTAGTATAAAATGAAAGCTCCTCAAATTGTCCAACAAACCTGGTGTTTCCCATTATTTCCCTTCATATACTCTTAATTCAAATCAAACTGGCCTATTCCCTGTTCCCTGAAGTCAGTATTTCAGCCCCCATCTCAACACCTTAGCATGGGCTATCCCAGGGGTAGACAACCTTTGGTCTCAAGGCCTCAGGTGGTCTTCTAGGTCTTTGGGTTCAGCCTTTAGACTGAGTCCAAGTTTTATAGAACAAATCCTTTTATTAAGGGGATTTGGTCTGTGAAGTTTGGATTCAGTCAAAGGGCTGAGCTTGAGGACCTGGAGGGCCACATGTGGCCTCGAGGCTGTAGCTTCCCCACCCCTGGATCCCCTCATGCCTGGAATGAATGCCCTCCTCACCCACAACTCTTATTCTAAAAGTCCTTCTGAGGAAGATCACCACTGCCCCAGTTGTTAGGTCTCTTTCCCTTCTTGAGATTTACTTCTCTGTCTATTCTATGCCCCAATGGAATGTGAACCGTCTCGAAGGCAGGAGCTCTGCTATTTCTTTGCAACCTCAGGGATGTCTGTTTCCCCAGTAAACGTTCATTGAACTGACATGACTAGTCAGTTTCACTTTTTTGTGATGTTTCTCAGAGTTGGCAGAGAGATGTGAGGCTTTGGAACAGCCTGCAACCCTTCAGCCTCTCTCATCTCTTCATCATGAACTCTGTTCTCTGACTTACTCTTCCCCACCTTCTCCTGTGCCCACCTTCAGATTAAAGTCACCCAGTATGGAAGGATATGTTGATTTGCTATGGAGGATGTCTTCACAGATCTCTTGCCTCCCTTAACTGCCGCTTGGTATCCCATGAGATGCCACCACAAACAAAAGCATTATGTAATGGTCATATTTTATGCCCATTATGTCATAGGATCTGTAGCTAGAAGGGAGCTTAGAGGTCACCACCTTGTTCAGTATCCTCAAATTACAGACAAGGAAACTGAAGGCGATGGTAGTATGGTGACTCACATAAGACCTCACAGTTCAGACTACATGTTGCAATTCCAACCCAGGTCTTTTGACTCCAAACACTTACACTAGATTAGAAATAGCATTTAGAAATGTTGTTCATAGGACCATAGATTTCAGGGACCTTACAGCCCAACCCTCTCATTTTCCAAATAAGAAGTCCTCTGATTCCAAATACTTTCCTACTGTACCAGGATGCACTTCTAATGAATTGCATTCAAAGTCTGATCTCCAGGGAATACTCTTCTAGACCTCTTCTGGTGTTGAACAACTCTGCCTCCTTTCCATCCCTATCCTGATCCAAAAGTATAAGGTGATGTTGTTAAAGACCTAAAAAACAATTCAAGCCAATACATCAAGTTGGAATCCTAGAATTCTGTGGTACAGTGGAAGGAGTACAGTTATCCCTTCCACATCAAGGTTTTAATATATCATGGGTCAGCATAAGAAATTAAATGGGAACTTTTTGGTAGTTTTGTGGAAGCCACAGACACTTGAAGGCCAGCAGATGACACAGAGCCTTTGACCAAATACTTAACCCAAATAACCAGATAAGGTATTCTAAACATTCCTTAAAAGAAAAAGAAAAAATTCAGACTTTTCTAGTAGGATGGGAGGGCCAAAAAAATTTACACGGATTTTCCATAAAATAGGGCACTGCTCCCCTTACCCCCAAGATATGGAAGAGATAACTGTATTTGGATTCAGAGGGTTTGGGGTCAAATTCCAGCTTTATTAACTAATTATTTATGTGGCCTTAGGAGAATCACTCAGTTTTCTGATCTGTAAAATGAGGATCATGAATTCCTAAAATTCCTTTCAGCTCTACATCAGGTCAATTCAAGTCAACAATCATTTATTAAGTATTTACTACATTCCAGGTACTATCCTAGGCACTGAGAATATAAATATAGACAGAAAAAAAAAAAGACAGTCCCAGCCCTCAAGGAGCTTATATTCTAATGGGGGAAGACACCATATAAAAGGGAGAGGAAAACCAGCCAATCAGAAGAGGCTGGGGGGAGGGGCAGTACTTCCAATATATGAAATTCAGGAGTACAGTAAGCTTCCAGGGGGTAGAGGTTTCTGGGGCTTTGTAGAGAGGTGGAGAGAGTCTGGATTCGATGAATCTATGAGCTGGAAGAGTACAAAGAGGTCCTTTAGATTAAGAAATGGAGAACTTTCAGAATTTTGCCTTGAGTTCATCTGCCCACATATCCCAGAGACCCACAAATACCTTAGGATATGATTTTGGCCTGGTCCCAGACCCTCAGCATCCTCAGATGCTTAAGGTGAATATCCTATTCATAGCTAAGCCTCTCGAAGATTTCATTTCCATTCAATTTAACGTTTATTTAGTAGAGAGCATTGAAGAGTTCTGAACTATGCTTACCCTATTTATTCTAGAAGGCTTTTTAACTAGACATGGAATTTTGGATTTGATTTTTTTAAAGGATAAACACAAGGAAATACAAGCTGATTCCAACGGTAAGTTTTAGGCATTGTAGAACGAGGCAGCCCAAAATTCTCAAAATAGAAGGATAAGGCAATCTGACAGCTTTTGAATGTCAAAGGGATTGACATCTCCAGTTTCCAAAGTTAATGTCAAAAATCTAACTCCTTCCTCCACACACATGAAGAGGTTTCAAAATTCCCTGTGAAAACAAAACTTTTCCCCCTCAAGAATAAATGAGATAGTTTGAAAATAAAAACCTGCAAGTTGTTTCCCAGTGGTAAAAGAATCAGACAGCTAGTTAGCTTCCAAGGAGCAGTGATAACTTACTCTGATTCCCACAGCTCAGCTGAAGGGCAGAGTTTAACAAAGCATTTTAGCATTTCAGACTAACCAGGCTCATCCGTTTTTTCTCCCCATGCCTTTCTCCTTCTGTCTCCATCTTTCTACCTTCTCTCATAGGTCACCCTCTCTTTCTGACCCTCTTCAACCCTCTCTGTTCCCTTTTCTCCTTTTCTCTCTCCTTTAAATATCTTTCCCCTTCTCTCTTTCTTCTCTTCCCTTTCCCCTATTTGCCTTCTCTCTTTCTTTTCTCCTTTAACTGCCCATAAGGTCAAACTGAAGTATACAACTATACCATGCATTTTTGTTTAACATTCATTTTGAGTTCCAAGTTCTCTCCCTTCCTCCAGCCCCTTCCCCACCCATTGACAAGGGAAACAATATGATACTTACTATACATATCAAGCATTTATTAAGCACCTACTGTGTGCCAGGCACTGTACTAGGTGCCCAGGATAGAAAGAACAAAACAAAATTATTTTTGCATTTAAGGAGCTTTGAATAATGCTATGGAGGGGTTTGGTGGTAGGGTTGAGAAAAACATGTAATTAAATTTAATTGAATAAGCTTTTATTAAGTGTCCATAATATTCCAAGAATTAATTGTTCAAGTTGCTGGGTTTACAGAGATGACCCACGGCTTCAAGGAGTTTACAAGTTCCTAGGAAATATTTTATACACAGAGAATTAAATACAAAATAATTCAAAGTAATTCAGGTGATAGAGTAAGGAGAGGAAAAATCAGGACAATCTTGTTGGAGATCTCACTTTAGTTCAGCCTTGGGATTCAAGAGGCAGAAGTGATGTCAAGAAAGAGAATTAGCAGAGAAGAAAATACAAATAATATACAAAGTAACTATAAAGTAATCCCTGGTGGCAGTTAATTGCAACTGGGAGGACCTTGTGTGCCACTTGAGCTGAGCCCAGAAAGAAGCAGGGAAATACCTAAAGGGAAGGTGAGGAGGGCTAGAATTCAAGGAA